CTGTGGGTCTTGCCTATACACTCTTTCAGCAGTGAGTCAATGGGAGCAGGTTGGTCAACAATAGTGAACTTGACAGCAGTGACCACGGTGCTACGGGTCCGAGCAGCACCTTGAGGAAGATCAGAAGTTAATGATCTAACTTGAGATTTACTGTAAAGACCAGTTTCCCAGTCCCATGTCAGGGCTGGTTTTGAGGGATCCTTGAGTTGCTATATGTCAGGGCTGGTTTTGAGGGATCCTTCATGAAAACAAGACACAACCCATCACCAAACCTCAGCCATTCAGGAGAGGCTTTATCTCTTGTACTACAGCCATTAGTTGGTGGATATTACTGTAAGTCAGTGGTTCTCTCTATTTTCTGTCATTGGTTTGAGTTGCTATTGACTAGAGGATTGTTATCATTCAAGCGTTACTTATGTCTAGCATGCCATATTCCACTGGAAGACCCTTACGCCCCCCCTGGCACCTTACTTGCCCCGCCTGGAGTGTTCGTCCCACTATTTGAGAAGTACTGCTGTAAGTCCTGTGGTGTAAGGTTCTCTGTGCGTTCATCAGGATCAGAAAAGTTCTAACTGGGAGGACCAACAAAAACCAGACCCAACTTCAGGTAACTGATGCTTCTGGTCCACGTGTGACTGTGAGACTAAACATTAGTTAGGTCTCAGGTAACTGATGCTTCTGGTCCACGTCCAGTTAGGTCATAGTTATAGTTAAGAATAAAAACTTAGTTACCAGTCTTGAGTTGGTGTTTGAGTCTTGGTAAGAGCTGGACTGGACTGATCAGAGTCAGTTTTCCTAGACACTCAGCCACAATGTTCCTGTTTCCTTCCTCCTGACTCTCACAGTTCTGGACCAACAATGTCCAGATTGAGTCTACATGCGGCAAGAGACTTGAGCTCGGACAGGCACTAGTGGTGAGAAAGGGGTGTTAGAGTTCACTTTCACATTTGGTTTGGGTCTGAAATCAGGAAGCTGCCAAGACACCAAAGACCTTCCCAGGCACACACAGTCACATAGCCCCACACATTCAAAGAGAATTTCTCCTAAATTCTCTTCACACCAACTCTCCAGATTACCCCCTGTTGTTCCAAAACACCTCTACTCCCTGGAAACTGGACGCTACAAGAGGCCTAACCTCTGTTTTCCATTGGCCTACAACTTTTAAACACACACCCGGGATGCCGAAAACCACTGCCCCCGCACAGGTATAGTAAAAGTGTACATCACTGATGATGCATTAGAAGGTTATTCTTGACTTTGCGTACTGGTAACTGTTGTACGGGATTTTCTTGAAAACGTTCGTCGTTTTATTTTGCTCGTTTGTTTTGGCGTTTTGTTATTAAACGAATCAACCACCTACCGGCTGTTTTCATTCCAGATCACAACATAGCAAGAATCTTTCAGGGGGGGAGAGTGGTGTCTAGGTTATGTCAAACATGGTACATCTTTCCTACATCCTCGTTTTGATTGTTATTTCCTAGTCATGTTGGCCATCCTTCTCATTCTTCATCCTAGTTTTCTATTACTCCTTTCTCTCACAGTCTTTGTTTCTGTTGTGATTATCAGGGTCTTTTTTATAGCCTTCTCTTCAAGACTTCATTTCCACCCCTAGTCTTTAGCCTTAGTTTTCACTACAGTCGTACAGCCCAGTTTTTAGGCTGGAGCCACATCATGCTGATAAAGACCCACCTGATGACATCTTTGAGGGAGTTCAGCAGCAGATACTGTCTCCTGGGCTGCATAGAGATCTCCTTCACCATGAAGGGTAGGAAATCGCTCAGGCTGCCAACAGCCATGCTGCCCAACGCGTAGGATGCAGCTGTCCTCACCTGGACAACAGAGACACTTCTCATTAGCAAAGACAAATGCAAGAAAGTCTGAACCTTACAGAGACAGATGACTGATGTTCTCTAATGCTCTCTCACCTCCTCACTGGTGGAGCTGAAGGCCTCGAGAATGACTCCCTGCACCGCCGTGTTCCCTCCCAGACTGCCTCCCCTCCCAATCTCCCCCAGACTCAGTAGTGCCAGAATGCAGGCTGATTCGGGAGTACCACGATTTTTGACCTGAAGATGAAGCCAGTGAAGAAGAGGAGAGAGACGGTGGTCAATATTCCTTAACAACTCCCTCGGAGACACAGACCAAGAAGATGATGGAGACATGAACTGTCTCCATCAAAGATCCAAGACTCAACTCGCAAAGATGGAGGAACTAGTAAAAGTACAAAAAAGATTTTTTTTCAAAACACAGGCTGAGATGGAGATGAAGAAGCAGACGGACTGGACACACTCACCTGCTGAATGAGACGGGAGATGGAGGACGGTGTCTCTGTTGGACAAACAGAGGACAGAGCAGCTACACATCGAGCCACAGAGTAATAGGACTGTCTGTGGAGAAGAAGCGGGTCTGCTGAGGATGGTGATCTGTTGAAGGGCTCGGTAAGGGACTTCAGCAGCTGACTGAGAGGAACAGGAAAAGATGATTGAAGAAATAACAGAAACAGAAGTCAAAAAGTTAGACAAGTGAGGTGACTTTCAGTCTGTTGGACAACCTGTATCCCAGATTGCTGGTCCTGGACAGCACCACTGCTTTGATGAAGTCCAGTATGGCTGTTAGAGCACCACTCTGCAGAAGAGGAGAATGGATCAGCCTGAAGACACCAGGTAAGAGGGACGAGCTGATCTTAGCCATAGAGGAGGGAAACGCTGTGGCCAAGCAGGTGAGTAACGTGATGGTCACCTGTAACACAGAAACAGTCTGACCTCAGTCTCAGGTCACACTGACCTCACACTAACCTCAATCCCACCTCAGTCTGACCTCAGTCTCACCTAACAGAGACTTCAGTCTGACCTCAGTCTGATCCAGTCTAACCTCACACTGACCTCAGTCTGACCCAGTCTGACCTCAGTCTGACCCAGTCTGACCTCACACTGACCTCAGTCCTACCTTAGTCTGACCTTAGTGACATTTCACACTCTTATTGTCATGACTGTGCTCCAGTGAAACCCGTTCAACATTAAACCAACTGGTTCAAACATTAAACCATTTCCTTTCATTTTCTTGTGTTGATCTTCTGTTGTTCAAGAAATTTGTATTCGCTTTTATTTATATTTATTATATCGATAGTAGGACAGAAGTACTAACAGGGAATATTCTTGATCTCAACACACACACACACACACATCACACTGCGCTCCAGACCTGGGACACGTGCATGTCAGCCTCGTCCAAAAGAGCAGGAAGTTCTGTCATCACAGGCTCAAGAGACGCAGGTTTGATTCCCGCGCCATGATGAGTGATGACTTCAGAGAGGCAGGCCATAGAGCTCAGCTTCAGCGCTCGCTGGTTCTTCCTCAGGAAAGATCCCAGCACAGAGAGGACTTCAGGCAGGATGGGGGACAGGTCCACCTGGAGGACAAATAAAGGACATATTTCAGTCTCCAGTCTTTCAACTGTATAATTATCGCTGAGGCAACGCAAACGTAACCTTTAATGTCGAAGCAGCAACTAGGCTGAGGGTCCGCACTGTAGTCAATCTCGTGATCTCATTTTTTAATCTTTCCAAAAAAACTGCAAGAACTTCCTGCGTGTCTGCCTCCAGGTGGTCGCTGAGATGACACACCATGTGACCCATACAGACAATGACCCGCTCTTTCACTTCCTGGTCGATGTCAGTGGCTCTGAGAAGCTTCATAGTCACAGGAAACACCTGGGAAGAAGAATTCAAATCTGCTGAAAGACCATTCAGGTCTCTGTGGTCATTTTTACAACAACACTTCCATCGAACCTTTCTGACAAACTGCTTTGGGTCACAACCCACAGCATCAGCTCCAGGCTGAGGCCTAATGACTCTGATCAACTGCTGAAGGACCAGCAACGCTTCTGAGGAGATCTTGTAAAAGGTGTCTTCTACACAGGTAACCACTGGGGTCAGCATCTCCTACAGGATGGAGCACACGGCTTAACTGACAACGTAGGGGGAAGGATAACGAGACTTAAAAGAAGTTGGGGGAGAAAAAGAAATAAACGGTGAAGGACGACAACCTGCAAGTGAGGCTGAAAGGCATGAGGAGGGACAGAAAGGAGCAGCATATGGAGGAAGGAGAGAGCATCCATCCTAATGGTGGAGGAGGTGCATCTGTCGGTCAGGGAGAAGATGATACCTGGGAGATAAAAGGAAGGAGACACATAACAGGAGAGAGGCAAGGAAAGAAGAGCGAAGAAACAGGTGGGAAATGGGCTATACTGAACATCCAAACATCTTCTTGAACACATTTAAAACCTAGGAAGGCCACACCTCACAGCAGAACAGGAATGTGCAGGGGGTTAATAGTACCTGGTACCAGAACAGGAATGTGTGGTTCCAGAGCTCCAGGAACGGTGTGAGTGAGTTCTGTGAGAAGACAGAAACAACCCTGACGAAATCTAGCGTTCTTATCCTTTAGCTGTCTGTGGAGAACCTTTACAATGAGAGGGACCTGGAGGACACACAAGAGCATGTGGTGTTAAAATAAGGTCAAAAGGTTGACAAATGGTTCACAATTACAGATTTCTGACTTCCGGTTGGCTTTCGGGTAGAGGTGACCCGGTTGGCTGCAAGTCACCTATACCCAAAGGACAAGGAAGGAAGGGTTAAGGACATAAATGTTGAGGACATTTGAGTACCTTGGAACAACATTATACGAGTACTTTGGAAATCTTTTACGTTCAGTGGCCACTAGGGACAGCTGAATCCCTGGAATAACAACTTATAACCCGTCCAACTCGTCCACATACCACTTAATTAAATGTCTAGCGGGCCGGACCAGTACAATCATAACATAATTACCTATAAATAACAAAAAAAATCGGTCTTTTTACCCTTTTGTTTTCATGCAAAAGAGTACATTAGATAATCTTCATATTAAGTGAAATTGAATTTAACAAAACAGATAGAGATATTTATTGTCAAGTAAGAAAAACACCTGGAACAGAGACCAAAGAAACTAACAGAGGAACCCTGAAGGTCGACCAACACCGTTTGGTTCTGATCTACCTGTTTCTTTAGCTCAGCCAACACCGGTTCCTCCATTTCCGTCCCCTCTTCGCAGACTCTTGCCGTCGGCTCAGTTGTCGTTGCGCCACGACTGTGGTAACGCGTTTGTCTCAGCAGCGTCGAGAAGACAGAGAAGATGTCAGCCCTCACGCTCTCCTCGCGCTCTTTAAAGCGGGCCAGTAAGACTGGGAAGACGCAGGAGTAGAAGCTGAGCAGAAGGTCCGGACGAGTCTCCACTAGAGCCTCCAGACACTTGATTGAGGATCGACGTACTTTCCAGCTCATGTCGTCGTCATCGCTGTACTCTTCTGAATCTGGACACAGAGACAGAATGTAAGACAGTAGACCGCCGGTCCCACCAGTCTACGGTCGGGCACACAAGTACTAGAACTCATCTCATATTTGTAGTGTAACTACAGTACCTTAAATGATGAGTGAATCATATCTGCTGGTAAATGATAACAGTTCCAGCACTTCAGATCTGGAACTCTTGTCCCTCATGTTCTACATTTAAATCCATAACATTGGCTAAATCTCAGTCTCAGTCTCAGTCTCAAACATGACCTCAGTGACCGGACCGGCGTTTACCTTCCTGAAGTCCGTCCTCTCCTTCCTCATCCGAATTATCCTCCTCATCCTCATCGTTGTAGTTTGGATCAAACGTCATGAACCGGAGACAGAGTTCAGTTACTGTCGAAATGTGGGGGGACATTTCTTTTGGACACCTGTAAATCATTACAACTTCGTGACACTTATTTTTAATTTATGTGATTGGACACCTGTAAATCATTACAACTTCATGACACTTCACATAAATGAGGAAAGGGTATGTGCGTGTGCGTATGCATGTGTGCCACATAAATGAGGAAAGGGTATGTGCGTATGCATGTGTGTGTGTGTGAGTTACCTGCGTACGAATGCCTCAAATGCCTGGAAACAACAATCCCTCAGCTCATCATCTTCCACGTCAATGAATTTAACAACTATAGGGACCAGGTTCTCCAGATGTTCACCTGAACATCACACACACATTTATGGCACAAATATTTATGACAGTAAAAACCGTCCAAGGTTAGCATTGGACAAAGAAATATATATACCTTATTGCAAAAGAACCTTGAAATTAGGTCAAAAGGGAGTCAAAAAGAGTAGCTAACAGTTAGCGTTAATTTGGCCCAAACATATCAGCTGTTACCAACAAACTCTTTTTTTTTTCTTCATATTAATAAAAAGTGTTTTAAAAAGACTGCAAATTTAAAGTGACATCTGACCTACTCTGTGTCCACCCTGACGACTGACTGTTGCCAAACACTGGACGTACGTCCTCGTGACAGATGTGGGCAGACTTTTGGACAGCTCATCTAAGAGGTGCTGAGTGAGCTGGGAGAAGAGGGCGTGGCTACAACAGGGCACCAGGTGCCCCAGAGCCAAGATGGAGCGCTTCCTGACTGCCATCCTGGAGCTGGTCAGCTGAAGAAATGAAAAACAAAAAATAAAACCGTGTCTGGATTTCTTTAACAAATACCTTGTTCCACTCCCCTGTTCCACTCCACAGTGGAACCTCCGTGTTGAGGAGTCGTGATTGCGCAATGTTCGCTTTGCTTTCTCACAAATTATTGTCTCCGAAATACTGTCACCGGCCAACTGCTTTTCATTGATCAGTAGCAACTTTTCCACTTCTTCTAATGTCTGAGATCTTTGCTTGGTGATCACAGTCGCTCCTTTGTCCACCCTAGCTTCTTTTAGTGCTTCCTTGTTCTTAATGATGCTTAATGACACAAATCGAATACTTTGCTAAGCTAACCTAAAAGCTTTTTGCTAACCTTTGGTAAGGCCAGATCTGAAACACAAGCTCCGTTCTCATGCTTTCGTATATTCTTTCTTCTATTGTTGTTTTTTCTTTCCACTTTCACTAGCTTGCCAGCTTCCCATGGTGATTTATGGAATACGAAAAATAAAAGAAATAGCACAGCGCAAGAAATACTGGCAAAATCAGATAACAGTTCTTGGCAGTATTGTTGGCTTGTTTCATGGCAAAATCAGACAACAGTTCTTAGCAGTATTGTTGGCTTGTTTCGACAACCGGGGAAATGTTTGGTTAAACATTTTGTTCGTGAAACGAATTGTTCGAAAATGGAGGCGTTCGACAACTGAGGTTCCACTGTATTTGTTTATTGCTTTTGCTAGGACGGTGGCCGCTGTGTTACCTGAGACAGGAGATTGGAGAGAAGGGTGCTGTGGAAGCTGACAAGAGCGCCACCCTGTCTGCAGGAACATGACAAAAACAAAAAGTTAGTCCCGACATCGGTGCTGAGTTGTTAGTCAGGAACTGACATCTCTTGACTCCTACCTTGCCAACATGTCCGACAGGATGTCCAGAGCCTCCAACTGCGTGGACACGTCTTCCTGTTTGTCCATGGCACCGATCAGCTGACAAGTGATTTTCTTACAGACGCAGGAGGTCAGAGTCGCACCTAAAGCAAATTCAAACACAGCACCAGAGCATAAGTACCAAGATCGATGTCTGGTTCCTTTACAGGAACTGCCGCGGGATGAAGGGGCGGTACTGGGGATGTAACGATGCATTGTGAATCGATTAGAAAATCGATTCTAACGATGCATCGTGAATCGATTAGAAAATCGATTTGAAAAACGAATCGTGCATCGAGGAGTAAGAAGTAGGCTGCATTACCTCAAAAAGGTCAGTGGTCATACCATGAAACTACACACTCCAGTACAGCAGGTGGCAGTGTGCCTAAAAACATTGGTTGTGACCCATTGTTAAACCAAGACTTCAGGTTCCTCCGTAACATAAGTGACCAACTGAACGTAGGGAAGAACTTCCTCTACAGACACAAACAGGGTTTTACAATGTTTCTGATCTGTCCAGTTTTTTTTTTTTTTTTTTTTTTTTTAATATTCTTCTGTTGAAACACCATTTCATTTAGTAACGGTATTTCGCATAGTTCTTACAAATAAAGGATTAGGTGTATTGTTACATCCCCAGGCAGTACAACCAGTACTTCCCCGCGGTGAAGCACAGACAAAGAGCGAGGAGACCAAAGTCTCACTTGAGGAGGAAGGAGGCAGTTCAGCGATCAGCATCTTCAGTCCCATACTGGAAATGTCCCTTAGCTGCTCTTTGTTTGACACCATGTTTGAGCACAGAACGTCCACCATTGTCTCCACTTGAACTTCCTTCACTTTGCTCACCAGAGGAGCCAAGCTACCAATAAAGCAAAAAAAAAAGGACAGTGAAAAGGGACACAGCCTGCCCCCTGTGGACAAATGTGTTTTTGTGAACTGTTTGTTCAAACTTGAAACTTGAATCTGAAATTTGTAGGTACCATTTCACTGCCAAGTTCTGCACCTCTCCATTCTTGTCTTCCAGCAGCCTGAGGAGCATGTTCACCACTTTCCTCTCGCTGTCCTCGTCCAGTTTGATGCTGTCCTTCTGCAGCTCCAGCATCAGGTCATTGGTGGCCATGAACCTGTTGTAGCAAATGCACAATATGCTGTTAGTGCAGTACTTCTCAAATAGTGGGGCAGGGCCCCCCCTGGTGGGGCGAAGGGGGCGGGGCGTGAGGAACTTCTAATGGAATATGGCACGCTGGACATAAATGTACCACTGCTGTAATGATAACAAGCATCCGGTCACTAGGTGGCAGCAACTCATACAGTGGTTTGTACAGATAGAAATATACATGTTATTAGGTTCTCAATAGTATTTCAATTGGCAGGGATGTGAGTCGGACGGAGGGGGAGGGGCTCGGAGGGTTGGTTGGGGGCGTGAAAACATTTCTGTCCCCAAGAGGGGGAGCATGACGGAAATTAAATTGAGAACCATTATAAAGTCGCAGGGTTAAACATTTACATTTTACAAAACCTTAAGTGAGTGAAAAGTTGTATGTAAAAAGTAACAAATGAATCAAATACAGTTGAGTCTAAGTTCATATGGAAATGTAAGTTACATTAGTAACTAGTTACTTTTGATGTAAAAGTAACTAGTAACTAATGTAACTTACATTTTAATAAAATTAATAAATCTAAAAAAAAATCATAATTAATATTATAATTTAATAATGTACGTACAGTTTAAAACGTGCAGTCTGATAAAAACCCACCCTTAGTTTGTTGGATGAATGTTAGATAAAAGAGACAGCACATGTCATATATTTTACAATATATATATATTTAGTGTTTCATTAAACATATGATCAGAAATAGAAACTGGAGCATATTTTAATGTGATATGAAGCAGTTAAAAAAAAATACAAAATCTGATTTAAATGGGTAATAACAGATGTTTGAGCTGTGAAGTATACGGTCAAAAGACATGAAGAAGTGGATGAGTCAGAACTAAGAAGCGTCATCTCACTGTGACACACGTGCACACACACACACGCGCAACACTGTCTTACCTAAAGTCTTTGTCTGTGGACGTCATTTTCTCCAACAGGTTGGAGATATAATAGGACACGTTTGACATTTTAACCTCAAGCAAACGAATGATAAGAAAACGGAGGTCAAAACAAGCTTGCAACAACAAACAACAGCCTCGGACAGGAGGAGTTTAAAGAGGGGAAGCAATACACGAGCCACTGGGGCAACACGATACTGACAGAGTTTAGATAAAAATAGACTTGTAATGAAGAAATGGTTTAGATTAACAGCGCCCTCCTGTGGAGAAGTTCCATTTATTTATTCATTTATTTGTTTGTTATATAATTTTAAATTATAAATTCTCAATTTTGTACATAGCTGCTACGGAAAATTACATTTGCAAATGCATTCAATTAATACATTCAAATGTTTTTTTTTCACCAATTTAAGGTAATTAGTTTATCAAATCATTTATAGGTGACAAAACACTGCATAAAAAACAGTTTATCAAATCATTTATAGGTGACAAAAAACAACTACTTTTACGTTTACTATTGTTGTCTGGATTTCTTGTCAGTACTCTTACATTTTTTTGTTTTTCTTGGGAAACATTATGCACTTCACACCCACTGAATACACTTGTATGACGTCATTTTTGTTGTATCTGTGTATTTAAAAACATTTTCGTCATATTTCTAAAATATTTATATACCTCTAGTATTTTTTAAACTCCCCTCGCTGGAGGGATTTGGGAAATCATTTTTATTTTGAGCATTTGAATGGAACGTTTAAACACACAAGTGTTTCTTCCGGTTCGCCTTAGCGGTCGTACTGTTCCCAGTACTTGTTGCCACGTCGGACTCTGGTCCGTAGTTTATCTGACAGTAAGCTGTCGCCTCTTTCTGGTGCTGGTTCTCAGCTTGATCTGTAAACATGGTGAGTTTAATTTTAAATAATCATTTTTCTATTCATTTTTAACAGGTGGGACCTTTGTTTAAACGTTTGGACGCAGATAAACCCAAAGACAGCTGTTAGCTTCTCAGTTAGCCATTTAGCTGTAACCGCTATCGTCATTCATTTCACAACATGTTTTCTTTTTCCAGTTTTAATTCTAATTTTCTGTGTGTAATTGTAATTTCAGGTCTCCGTCATTAACACAGTGGACACTTCTCACGAAGACATGATCGTAAGTTGTCACTGTCAGTGTGTTGTTAAAGCAAAGCTAACGTTAGCCTTGCTCGTCGTTTCTCTTCTACATTTAGCCACGTTACCATATGACTGTCGACGTCATTATCTTTATTGTATGTTCCTATTTGGACCAGAAGTTTTAATTTAAATTAATTAAGGCCTTGACGCAGCTGCATACAGGTTGCAGTTCCGGTTTATTTGGCATTTCTATCTATTTTATCTTTGAGCTTAAATCATAATTAATTTGGTTGTTTAAGTGGCATTATTAGCCTACTGTATACGTTCTAGATGCACAACTCCAACCCCTTTAGATACGTTCCACAAGAAAGTGTTCGTAACTGTTCCTCGAATATAAGAAATGCCTCTGGAGGGCAGAGCACTGGTGCGTTGTTGGGCGGTTCTCCTCCGTCAACATTCCCAATAAATTAAATGTATACCCCGTCCTATATACTGGCAACCTGTGTCTAAATAAAAATGACTGTAGTATTTAGTAACCACAGTGTTTAATCTTAGCTATACTGGCAACCTGTGTCTAAATAAAAATAATGACTGTAGTATTTAGTAACCACAATGTTTAGCCTTAGCAAAACTAACTAATCCTGCTAACCCATTAATTCCTAGGGATTAAGGCTAGCATATCCTGCTATTCTGACAGCTTACTTTTCACCTTTAGTTTTGTTGACTAATTTCAATGTATTTTTTTCCCCTCCCTACTTACAAACGTGTGGATTTTCCCAATTAGCATTCTTTTTAGCTACAATTGCTGTTCAACTTTGTTTAATAAAAAAAAGGCTGTTTTCCACGGTCAACTCTCAATGTTTGCTCTGGTTTTCTGCTCACTCTGTTTCCCATGATTTGTTAAAGCACTGCGCTCAGATGGATTACTACGGCACTCGACTGGCCACGTGTTCGTCCGATCGCACAGTGAAGATCTTTGATGTCAGGAATGGAGGGCAGATCCTGGTAGCTGATCTCAGAGGGTTAGTAACCAACATCTCAGAGCCTTGTCAGGGCTTTGTGATTGTTACTGACTGAGTCTCTGGGTTGTTTTGCAGCCACGAGGGCCCAGTGTGGCAGGTGGCCTGGGCTCACCCCATGTTTGGAAACATCCTGGCTTCCTGTTCCTACGACCGCAAAGTAATCATCTGGAAGGAGGAAAATGGAGTCTGGGATAAGATGTACGAGTACACAGGCCACGAGTCATCGGGTAAGTGGAATAACGCTTGCTTTTTTTTCTTCTGTCTTTTAAAAAAAAAATATTTTTAGTGGTCTGGATCACATTCAAGTCCATTCGAACTTGTCCAGGAGGTGAACCCTGGGGTTCTACACCAATGACAGAGACATTGCCTCTGGGCCAAAGCGCCTCATATGCATTGAATATTCCAATTCTGATATTTTCATATACAGTAAACCCTTGTTTTTCGCGGGGGTTACGTTCCAAAAAGAACCCGTGATAGGCAAAATCCGTGAAGTAGAAATCTTTATTTTTTTTACAATTAAATACTCAGAAAAAGAAGAGAAAGAACGAACAAACCATTTTACAGTCTCAACCATTTGTTTCACAAATAAAGTAAAATAAAAGTACTTTAGAAACGTTTCAACAAATAACTTCTGTAATGTACTGTCAAATAATAATTTTAATCATCAACGTGAACAGAAGGCTTCAAATTGCGGAGATTAGCACCGCCCACCGTGAACGGGAGAAAATTAAAAATGATTATGAAAAAAATACAAATTACCTGTACAGTCGGACAAATAGTGACTCAGCTTTATTTCACTGCT